CAATTAAATCTAAATAATATTTTAATCCAATTTTATCATTATTATTATTTTTATTTTTATTAAATTAAATTAAATAAAAACTTAAAAAATTTAAATATAAAAAAAAAGTAAATAAAAATAAAAATAAAAATAATATAAAAAAAATATTTTGGGTGTTACATACACACACTACAACGACAGAAGGGTATCACGATCAAATCATCTGGATAAACATGATAGATCCGGTCAACCAATTTTATATAACCACTACCACCACTAGTTTCAGTATTGCAATGAGCCTGACAATGGCACTTGCAGGGGTATAATTGTCAAATCAAATTCAAAATGAGCTCATAGTCCACAAAATTCTATATTACTTTTGAATGCATGATTAGCAACGTGGCTTGACGTCCAAGGGCCCCATTGGTTTATTGTTTTTTTGGGAGCTTCTGTATATATTCGAACTGAATCATGCTTGAAATGACGTAATTACCCTTATCTCTTTCCGTTTCCTCCCTGTTGATGACCTCTGTCCTTGTTCAATTACTATTTCCCCCCAAATGGCGGCTTATACTGGACGATGTTAAAGTTCTTTTTTACCCTATTTCATCCTCTCAAAATTCATTTTTTCAAGCTATTGAAATTAAAACACATTTAAACTAAATTTAATTTAAAGTTTAATTAAATAAGGTAATATAGGTAAAAATAAATCAAATTTATGTCGAATCTAAATTAAGTATATTTTATTTTTTAGTGATCTGGAGTGTAAATACTTAATTGTAAAATTAAATATATAAAAAATTAATTCTATCAAATAAAAATATATAAATAACTAAAATTGAAAAATTAAATAAAATATAATAAATGCAGTTTGAACCAAATATAATGTTGAACCGTTAATTCAACAAACTTTTTTATTAAAACTCAATATCGTAAGTTAAGTAATTTTCAAATGTACACTTGAAAATAAATATCATCTTTTTCATAAAACTCATTAATTTTTTTTTTTTATAAATTATATAGGATACAAAACTCAATTCATACCTTATAGAGAAGGTTGAAATTATCAATATCTATAAAAAAAATTAAATAAATAATAATAATACTAAGTTGGGAATTTCTTTTGAGAAAAAATTGGGAAAATGGGAGGGTAAATTGGTAATTCCAAAGGCGAGACCCAGTTCTCGTACAGTACTGTCGTTCCCGAAATCGCGAATTGCAAAAATTTCGAAACAGAAAGAAGGGCAGACACGGAAACACGGCATTCCATGATTGGATAGGAGTATATGGCACACTATCATCTGGACCCCACATCCCTTCCCTCCTCTGCCCCTATAATTCCATACCTCCTCTCTCCTGCATCTTCTTCTTCTTCTTCTTCGTCCTTCTCCCCACTACCATTATATCTTATTTCTATTTTTCTATCAGAATACTTCATAGGACGAAGGGGGAAGGATGAGCGCCAAAACGCCTGCCACCAGGACACGTGTTGGAAAATATGAGTTAGGTAGGACTCTCGGTGAAGGTTCTTTTGCTAAGGTTAAATTCGCCAAAAATACACAGAACGGCGATTTCGTTGCCATCAAAATCATTGATCGCGATAAAGTATTCCGGCACAGAATGGTCGAACAGGTACAGCATACAGATGTGTACTGTTTGTATCTACATTTACGCCACGCACACATGTATGTATCTTCTTTTCTATAAGAATTAGGTCAGCGATGGGTATTTTTCTTCTTTTTTTTAAAAAAATATGTTTTCGGTTTAAATCACGAATCACTTTTGTTGTTTGATTTTGCTTCTACTCATCATGTGGATGTGGGACCCACATTAAGTATGAGATTATAATACTTTTTGTTAATTTACTAAAACTTAATTACTTGGGTCTTCTCTCTGCCTACCAATTGTTAATCAAATAGTTTATTAGTTGAAGCATAAGATATCTAGATAATTTTCTTTTGTTGCTCTTTTGGCAGATTAAAAGAGAAATATCAACGATGAAGCTGATCAAACATCCAAATGTCATTAAAATCATTGAGGTATATATATTCCCCTGTTTTAATTAATGAAAACCATTTGTAGTCTTCAGCCTCTTTGGAGATTTGGGTTGTAAGCTATGGTGCAATTGGTTGGTCCTGTTAGTCTAACTTGTGTATAACTCCACAGTGACTAAAGAAGATTGAAAATTAAAGATTAATTTCTTGTTATTATGCGACTAGCCGCGGATGAATCTCTTATATCTCTGTCTTTTATAGATAATGTTGGGGGGATGGGGGGGGTTGTTTGGGGTTTCGATGGTATAGTGTCACTCAGTAAAGTAATTGGAGAAGTCCCACCAGCACAAGCACATGATTCCCCGATTCTCTTTCAAATTTCCAACTACACAATTTTCATTAACATTTTAACACAATGTTCATCTCGCAAGATATTATAAATATGATACAGTTATGGAATGGACTTCTCTTCTTTGTGGGTTTATGGAGACTTTCCGTGATACAATATACATATAAACTAATTTATAACGGAATCTTTGTTTTACATGGCTTCATTTTATCATTGTCTTTGGACTTTGAAACATCATTTATTATATATGGCTGGATTTAAATGTCCTTTCTTTTGTGGATATATAGGTTTTGGCAAGCAAAACAAAGATCTATATTGTTCTTGAATTTGTTGATGGAGGTGAACTGTTTGATAAAATCGTAAGTAATGGTTTTTTAACATATATACACAGGATTTTTATTTACTCTTTTCAAGTATATATTTCTATTTAAATTATGCAATCTTTAATTATGTTTAATCAGTTGGCATCTATTATCCATTCTCTTATTGGATTTTGATGCCTAGGCTAAGCATGGAAAACTTAAAGAGGAGGAAGCCAGGAGATATTTCCAGCAGCTCATTGATGCTGTAGATTACTGCCACAGTAGAGGCGTGTACCATAGGGATTTAAAGGTTTAAAATTTTCAATTTGCGCATAGTTTATTAACAAGTCTTCAAATTTGATTATTTTGGTTTTAGCTAACAATGTGTCATTCAGGAGTCTAACATGTGATTCATATGTCACCCCATGTTGCTGCAGCCTGAGAACCTTCTTTTGGACAAATTTGGTGTTCTAAAAGTTTCAGATTTTGGATTGAGTGCATTGTCACAGCAAGTTCGGGTAAGCATTGTGTGAATGTAATCAAAATTATATGCTAAAGAACTATATCTTGGGAGGGTAGCTTTCTTGGAGTAGGATTTGATTGCAAGAAATTGAATTCTTATACAGTACCCTGGATATCATAATTGTATGGGTTGCAATGTGGAAAAAAAAATGCAGACCAACTCAGCAAGAGTTGCCCAATAGTTACAACAGATAAGTGATCCAGTCAAGATTGGTTGCCTAGCTCTCTAAGCTTAGGAACTTCTGGAGCTGATGATCTATGAAAAGGGGCAGAATGTCCTCAGACTCAGGACAGCTATTACAACCCCTTTAACTCCTAAGGCTCAGCATCCTTGTCTTATATGAGTAGCCATATTCCTTGTATAGTGACACTGGGAAACGTCTTCTGTGCACTTGGTTAACTAAGCTTTATTAACCTCCTTTTGTTTTTTTACTTACAGGAGGATGGACTGCTTCACACTGCCTGTGGGACACCAAATTATGTTGCTCCTGAGGTATTTATTTATGAGTCCATGAAGATAACAGACTACAAGAATATAAGTACAGAGTGTTGTTTCTCATCCTCAACATTCTTCTTATCAGGTGCTTACCGATAAAGGTTATGATGGCATATCATCTGATATTTGGTCTTGTGGAGTCATTCTCTTTGTACTTACGGCCGGATACTTGCCATTTGACGAGCAAAATCTTATGGCCCTGTACAGAAAAGTAAGTACGTTTGCACTTCCTTCTTTTAGGTGATTAAGAATCTTGTTATATATGTATATATGCACTAAATGCCTTGTGATATAAACTTCAGATTTTAAAAGCTGATTTCACCTATCCACCATGGTTCTCATCTGGTGCTAAGAAATTGATAAGCAGAATTCTTGATCCAAATCCTCTTACAGTAAGTACTGAAACCCTTAACTATTGTAAGTTTGGGCCTGCCCTTCATATATTGTAAGATACTCTTTATTGTGATAATTTCACATCGTAGTGCTTGCATTTTTTTTTTTTGGTTAAAATTTCCTTTTTTCTTTTTTTTTTTCAGAGGATAACTATTCCTGAAATCTTACAAGATGAATGGTTCAGGAAAGGGTATCAACCACCCCATTTTGAGGCAGAAGAGGATGTAAATCTTGATGATGTAGATGCTGTTTTCAGTGATTCTAAGGTAAAGCCTTCCCATCACATGTTTATGCTATTGTGTGCCATACTATATATGGATGATAAGATTCTCCATTTTTTCATTCTCCAAATTTTTTTACTGTGCTTCTGATAGTGGCAGTTGTAATCTAGCTGAAAGGAAAAATATGAAACAGTAAACAAATCTCCAACAGCAATCTCTCGTTATTTATCTGTGTAGGAATGCCTAGTAACAGAAAGGAAAGAGAAACCTGTATCAATGAATGCTTTTGAGCTTATCTCCAGATCACGGGAATTCAGCCTTGAAAATTTGTTTGAGAAGCAGACGGTACGTGTTCTAGATAGTTAAGGATTTCAACTTATGGAAATATTACTGGCTACTTGTTTGGAATCTTGAAGTAATCTATTGCTTTGGATGAGCCTGGAAATTTTTAAAAACTGTGGAAAGTTTAAGATAGATCAGTGGATTTGCTTGCCCAAGAGTGTTTTAATTGACTATCTGACTTTAACCGCTGGCCAATCTACACTATTAACTAGTATGAAATTAAATGGTTAAAAATGTATAAAAATTTAAATAATTTTATATCCTATGACTAGCTGAATATTTATCTCTGCCATTTGTCTAAAAAATTGAAATACAGGGGCTCGTGAAGCGAGAAACCCGTTTTACTTCTCAACGGCCAGCACATGAAATCATGTCTAAAATTGAGGAAGCTGCAAAGCCACTAGGATTTAATGTTTGCAAACATAACTATAAGGGTTCTTACTTTTTTCCCCAATACATGCTTCTTTATCTGACTTTTGAGATAATAAGTTCTCCTCAATTGAAGATGTGTGCTTGTACATCTGAAACTTCTGGTTTGAATGGTTTTTGTTCCTTTTGAATCATTGCAGATGAAGTTGAAAGGTGATAAAACTGGGAGGAAGGGCCAGCTTTCAGTTGCTACAGAGGTACTCTATTATTTCTCATTGAATCCAAAATCCAGGCATGTAACATTTTCTTGCCCTGGGTTTATCCACCTTATTTTTAGATTTCTAGGCCCTAATGGCTTTTAAATCAGCACATATAGCAAATAATTTTGCAGAGGTGTTTAGTTTTGTCTCCTCGTGTTGAGATTTTTTATTAGCAACGTAAATGGGGATTCTAGAGTTGGAAAGATTCAATTAATCAGAGCTGTATGTGCACTTCCAACCTATTTGAAAGTTGATTCTGCATAACTCAGAAGACACATTTTTAGGAACAGAGTTTGGAAAACTTTATATGATTTATATGCCAAAGTGGTCGCTAGCTAAATAACTTGTTTTGTGGAACTATAACCTATGGTAATATCTTGTTTCATTGAAATGGGGAGAGTCATGCTGAAAATCAATTTCAACCTTGAAAAACCAATTTCAACCTTAATCTCAAATGGTGTTAGCAATGGCATTGGTAATCCACTGCTTTCTAATTTCAGGTGTTCGAAGTTGCTCCCTCCTTGCACATGGTAGAGCTTAGGAAAACTGGTGGTGACACATTAGAGTTTCATAAGGTATATAAGCATTTTCATTTGCAATTAGTTTGGTTTATAGGAAAGTGCATTTCAACATGTCTCATTTCCATGAAATTGGAGAATTCTACAAAACGTGCATATGCTAATATAATCACTAAAGTATTCAAGAAACGGGTTAAATAAAAAACACGGGAGCCAAGTTTACCACTGAGCCATTTTCAAAATCCTGACTTTTTGTCGTGTTGCAGTTCTACAAAAATTTTTCATGTGGGTTAAAAGATGTAGTCTGGAAAGCTGAAGAGGTACCTGAAGAGCCAAGGTGATCTCTCTCCCCTCTATATAACCTTGTCTTCAACTAACTAGTATTGTGAATTATTCATCTCTTTTATTTTTTGTTTTTTAAATTTTTTCTGGTAATTTTTTTGAACAGTTCATAAGATGAACGATGGCATTGTCCCCTCTTCTGGAATTCTTTTTATAAATCTACTTGTCTAGGTTCTGGCACTGTGAATACAGAAATTTGAGAAATAGTAAAATTTATATAATGTAGAAACAATGGAGGAAGGAAGTTGTATGACCTACAATGCCCACGAAGGTGGGCCGGAATGTGGTTGTTTATTAGCCCAAAATTTCTTCCATATCTCTCGAATTAAATACTGAGAGTTTTAGATTACTGACATGAATTGAAGACGTCTTCCCTACTTCTGTAACACAGAGATCTCTCTTTTTTCTTTTAATATATAATTTAGGATAAATTATCATTCTAATCTTTAATTTTTGATCTATTTTTCATTTTAGCATTATATATTTTTTTATTACAAAATTAATTCATGAACTTTTTATTTTTATTTTTTAAAAATACTAATACTGGTAATCTTAATTGGAAAAAAATGAGAGTTTAGATTCTTTGTCGCATGTAAGTTTTAAAAATAATAATAAAATAGTTGTTAAATTAAATTACTTTTAGTTAAAAATTATTTGATGTTTAACAAAAATAACAGTGAAAAGTGTTGAACTGAAATTACGAATTTAGTAAAAGTAATTATTGATACTAAAATTATTAAAAAACATAAAAAAAGAATAAACAAAAGTATTAGATTTTTAATTAAAATAACTGCATATACTAAAATAAATTTTATGTATATTATCTATAGATATAAATTTATAAATATAATACATATATATTTTATATATAATAGCATGTATTATTATATAAAACAAAAATTTACCTTATAAAATTAGGAAAAAGGTTTACAAAAAAAAAAAAAAACACCATCCGAAAAGAAGAAAATATAAACTGAAAAGTATATATATTGAAGTTCCTAGCCTAATTTGCTGGGTAACGATCTTGAATTTGCGCATAATAATTCTCTCAAAATATATACATACTTTATATATATATATATAAAAGAGGTACACAAGAAAGCCGAAAAAAATTATATCTGGTATGGAGAAGGCTGCTAGTGGCGCACCCGCAATTGATAATGGAGGCTGGTGGTTGCATGTGGCGGCAGCCAGGTATTAGAATGTTAATTAATTTTTTTAATGAAAAATTATAAATTAGCATTTATGAAGAAAAAAAAAAATCATAAATGAGCAATTATAAGGGAAAATCATAAATGGACAGTTATGAAAAAATTAAAATAAAATAATATTAAATTTAATTTAGCAATTAAATAAAATTAATAGGCTGTTACAAAGAGTAAAATTAATAGACAGTTATAACTATTTATATATAAGTAATGTATTATTGCATATTTGTATTCCTTTTTTTATCAAATAGAAGTATGATGTTCTTTGTTGAAAATTTTTAACATATCCCTCCAATTAAAAAATTTTCATCAACAACAATTTGTAATCTTTATTTTAGTCCCAACATCATAACCATCTTTTACATCTTTTCCATTTTCTCAACTATCTCAACTATAATTGTTTCAAGTTGCTAAGAGTTAAAAACATAGTTCAAAACCTTCATCAGCACAAATTCGAGCACTTGTTAAGGATGTATTTTTAGCTAACAACATCAACCATCTTTTCTATTTGGAGGATTTTAACGAACACGTGCACCTATTGAGTTAGTTCACACTGACATATGTGAAAAGAAACAGACACCATGACAAGGTCAAAACTGCTATTTTTTAATTTTTGTTGATGACTATACAAGAATGACATGGATGTATTTGCTAAAAGAGAAGTTAGAGACATTTGAAGTGTTTAAGAAGTCTAACACCATGGTGGAAAATCAAAATGATTATAAAATTAAAGTATGATGAAATAATCTAAGCGGTAAGTTCACCTCAAAACACTTTAATCGCTTTTATGAAGAACACTGTACTCAACATAGTTGATAATGACCTATACTCCTCAATAAAATGATATTCCTAAGAGAAGGAACATGATGATTATTAAGATAGATAGCTTAATGCTTAAGGAAGAAAACATGTCTAACACATTTTTAGTGGAATCAGTAAATACGGTAGTCTACATCTTAAGTAGGAGTCTAGCAAAATATATTTTGAATTGAACTTCAACTGAAGCATGAAGTAGTATCAAATCAGTGATCATTCATATGAAGATTTTTGATTGTATATGTTATGCTCATATACCAACTAATAATAGATCAAAGTTTGATAACAAAAGTGAAAGATACATTTTTGTTGATTATACTGATAACACAAAAGGATTGGTATATAATTTAGAAGGAAAAAAGTGATGATTAATAGATATGTCATGTTCGAAGAGAATACTTCATGGAATTGGGAATAAGAGAATGTTTAAGAAAACAAACGTCACTAACTATTATTTCATTGAGTCAACCAACTTATTATATAATAGACCCACATGATCAAGATAACACTCTAAGGCAAGATGAGTTTAGTTCAAGCTCAACTTCCAATCCAAGTTCAAGCTCAAGTTCCAATAAAAATGCTGAGAAAAGTTTGCTACTCCAGAGTCAGCTTCAAGATGGGTAAGAAGTTTAACAAAAATTCATGAATCATGTAATTTCTTGTTAGTTGAGGCATAAATCTTTAAAGAAGCTGAAAAATAACAAAATTGGGTTAAAGTTATTAAAGATGAAATCTACATAATAGAAAATAATAATACTTGGAAGGTAGTAAATTGATACGAAGATCGTGAAGTAATCGATGTTAAATATACTTACAAGACATGACTGAATTCTAACGGGTTAGTTTATAAATATAAAGTAAGACTCGCGACAAAAGGCTTCAAGCAAAAATATGGTATAGACTATAACGAGACGTATTGTAGTAAGACTAGAGACAATGAAAATTATTATTGCTCTAACAGCTCAAAAAAGATGGCAGTCATATAAGCTTGATGTTAAATAAGCTTTTCTGAATGACTATCTTTAAAAAAAATTTATATCGAGCAACCATAAGGATTTATAGTTGAAGGGAGAGATAACAAGGTTTACAAGCTAAATAAAATATTATACGATTTGAAGTAAGCACCAAGAACATGGTATAGTCATATAGATAAATACTTTCCGCAGAAAGAATTTAAGAAAAGCAAGAGTAAGCTTACTTTATATGTCAAATAAAGAGTTACTAATATTTTAATTGTCTCATTATATGTTGATGGTTTAATTTATACTAGTAAAAATAAGAAGATGGTAAAGGAGTTTAAGAAAGATATGATAGACATACAAAATGATTAATCTTGGCTTGTTACATTATATGTTGGGTCTTGAAGTATGTTAAGATAATATAGACGTCTGTATATCAAATAATAGACATACAAAAAATATTTTGAACAAAATTCAAGATGCAAGGTTGCAAGTCAATAGTGACTTTGCTATTGACAAACAAAAAGTTGCAAAACGAGGATAAAACAAAAAAGATAGATGAAACTACTTAAAGAAGTTTAGTTGAGAGTCTGTTATATTTGACTGTGATGTGACCAAACATCATGTTTACTTTCAATCCACCATCAAGATACATTAATAACCCGAGTTAACTAGATTTCATTGCTACAAAAAGGATGCTCCAATATAATACAACAAACTATGACGTATGGTACAAACTAGTAGCAAGCTATTGTTATTTGTGAAGTTACAGTAGAAAAAATAAAGACAACTTTAATAGAGAAGTTAGTTCTTCATTGAATTCAAAACTTACATTATATAGATTTGAAAAGTAACTAACTACTAAGTTCACGATTCTAAAAATAGGTCATGATTACACATAATAATTCAAAAAATACTAAACTCCTAAAACATAAGAGATACTTTGAAATTTTTAAATTTAAACACAAATATTTTTACTGACTTGACAGCCATCCGAAACACACTTGTACACTCTTCCTTATTTAGATGCTACAAACTCTTAAGTTTCTTTCTAATTATCTCAAAGTTACTATTGAAAAAGGTTTGGTAAATACATATGTTACTTGATCATCAGTTCTATAATAAACTAAAGTGACAAAGCCATTCTTTTGCACTTGCCTCAAGAAAAATAACTTTATGTTGAAATGTTTAGTTTTGCCATGGAAAACCGGATTGTGAGAGACAGCTATTGCAGCTTGATTATCAAACAAGATGTTTGTATCTTCTTTATGCTCTATATGAATATCACTTAATATTTTTCTCAGCCACAAGGCTTGATTTACAGCCGCAGTTGCAACAATAAATTTCGTTTCAGCAGTAGATTGAGCCACTATTTCTTGTTTTTTCGAACTCCATGAAAAACAATTCCTGATCCAAAACTAAAGCAGTACCCATAGGTACTTTTCATATCATCAATGGATCATGTCCAATCATTATCAGAAAAATCAAACAGCTTGAACTCATTGGCTTTTTTGAACTTGATGCCAAAATTGATTGTACATTTGATATATCTAACCACCCTCTTAGTAGCTTTTAAATGCATTTCACTTGCATAATGCATAAACCGAGATAAAATACTCATAGCAATTAAGATGTCAGGCCTTGTTGCTGTAATATACATCAGACACCCAATCAGACTTCTAAAGTGTGCCTCATCCACTTTCTTAGTTCCATCTTCCTTATTTAGTATTTCCTTTTAATTCATAGGATGTTTATTGACTTGCAATCTTGTAACGACCCCAGAAATTTCAAAGGAAATAAATCATAAATTAAGTACGGAAGCGAAATAATTAGTTAAGGTTTACATTCCTTACACAATCAAAACAATTAATCACGCTACTCACCGACACAGAAATGGAGGTTGGTAGAAAAATCAAAACAATTAATGAACCTCTTAATTAATCAAATTCATTTATCATAACAAAATTGTTTACCATTTCCTTACCGTAGCAAGATTCACAAAAACAACCTGTAGAGTCAATAACATAACACATATCATGATTTCATATGCAATCAGTTGGAACAACAATTTCTCTTTTATCAGCTTACTGTTATCTATGGGGGGTTCATAGGGATGTCCCCACAACGTGTGAACTCTTTCTTTTAACATTTTCAATTAACGGGCTGTCTCCATACCCGTCCGGTATGAGTGCTAAATTACAAAACCTCAATACCCGTCCGGTATGAGGGTGAAACGGGTCGTCCCGATACCCTATCCGGTACGAGTGCTAAGCTACCAAACCTCGATACCCTATTTGGTATGAGGCAACATTCACGGTAGGGTTCCCTATGTACCCGGTCCGTCCACCATCTTTCACGATATCTAGTAAGGCTGCTGTTTCGTCCATTCACTTAATCACACAG